AGGTAACTATGGGGAGGAAGTGGGAGGGGAGCTGCTGCATTGTAAATTTTGGTCAATGACATGAGACAAAGTATATGTGAACTTCTGTATGAAAAGTGAATTTACTCTGTAAATCTTCACCCAAATCCTAATAAAAAAAAAAATACAACTATTGGTCTCTTCACATGTAGCAAATAAGACTGAAGAAAATCAGACACAAGCAAACAAACAGTCCAAAGGAATAACAGACCACACCAACCACAGCCTCCACTAGCCGGAGACCAGAAGTACTAGATCGTGCCTAGCCACTGCTACTGACTGATCTCACTGGAACCACAATAGAAAGTCCTGGATAACGTGGGAGAAAAATGTAAAACAAAATCCAGAATCATAAAAAAGGCAAGACTTACTGAGCTGATAGAGACCAGTGGAACCCCTAAGACTATGGCCCTTATACACACCTGGAACGGCACCCACTCCCAGAGATCACCTTTCAGCCAAACAATAGATAGGCCTATAAAGTGAACAATAACATCTGTGAGGAACATACTCCTCAGAGCCATCAACCATATGAGACCAAAAGGGGGAGGAAAAATGGGCGAATGGAAATGGGGACTCCAGGAAGGAAGCAGAAAAAGTGCTGTTACGTTGATGGGACGGCAACTAATAGCACAAAACGTGTATAAATTGTTGAATGGGAAAGTAATTTGCTTTGTAAACTTTCACCAAATCACAGTAAATTCTTTCTTTCTATTTTTTTTTTTTTAAAACAAAACACTTAAGGTTTAAGGAAGAGTGGCTATTTCTAGTGATTGTAAAAAGCTATTATATAAATAGTGGCAAAATCTGGCTTCAGTTTCCACTGGAAATATTGTAAGATATGTGTGTTTAAGAACTGTATTTTTCTGAGTGTCGTAAGGTAATCACATTTTGAATTTAGTTTAAATAAAATTTGTTGTGCTAAGACAACAACAAATAATTCCAAGTCAACAATAGACTCAAACATACCAAACACTGTGAGGATTGTGCAGGCCCTAGCAACCGTTTTGTTCTGTTTTATATAAGGTTCCAAGAGTGAGAGCCAACTCCAGGGCAACTAACATCAACCCCTAGTGACACACCATGTAACCACTGACCCATTATTCCTTGTGGTGTTACCAGGTCGGACCAGTCCTTGATATCTTCAAATTTCACCTTAATGAGGCTGACACCTTTCAGCTTATCCATGGGCAGCTCTTTTATGTATTCCAGACGGCTAAAGAAGAAAGCCTTTGGCACAGCGCCAGCCTTGAGAGCGTCGGCAATCAACCTACGACCTTCCAGTAGAATCTTCCCTTTCTTTTCACGAAAGGGTCTGGACTTAACTATTGTCATTACACTGCTATAGATGGAAACAAAAAACACAAGTCATTACTAACACCCTTGTTATCAAGACATACCTAGTTCTGTAACAGTCACAGAGTTGCACAAAAACAGAAATAAACGAATTCCAAGGGAGACACTTACTCTGCCTTCCGTACATAAGGGAAAAAACCTCTGGTACTACTGAGAGAGAGTTTATCAGTAAGAAAAGGAGGTTAGGGTCTGAGCCTAGGCGGGAAGAGAAATGGAAATACTGGACAAACTTTAGGAACACATCACCTCAGCCTCTTGTCCCCGGGAAAAGCTCGCTCGTAGCGAAGCCCTGACTCTTCCCAAGCGCTGGGCGTAGGATTTGAAGGCACCTGAAGCGGCTGCTTCGGTTGCTGTTCCTGGGGACCGGCCTCAGATTCCTCCTTCCGGCGCTGCTTCCCAGAACTGGGCTTCTGTTCTACAACCTGTCCGGATGGAAACACCACTTTCACCGGGCTCCTCCGCAGCGCCCGGACCCAGCGCCTGGGACCGACGTCCCGAGTCTGAAGCACTAGCAGCAACGGTCGCATGCCCCATCCCACGCCGTTCACCAGCGCCGCCATCTTCCCGTGTCGTGAGCTACGTCATGTGAGCGCGCCGGGGGCGAGCAACGGTGTCACTACCCGGGTTGCAAATGTGCAAATAGCGCGGCGCTGTACGTGTGACGGAACCTGTGCGTGGGAGTCATGGGTGTTCGTCGGGCGCTGCACTTCGTGTTCAAAGTGGGAAATCGCTTCCAGACGGCGCATTTCTATCGTGATGTCCTGGGGATGAAGGTGCAGAGGGGCCCTAGAAGGGGCTGGAGCGCGAGGGCGGAGCTGGCCGCTGAGCCACACCTGTATGAGGAAGCTTCATTGAGAGGGTGCCGGAACTCAAACAAAGGATTCCCCACTGGCCCCCTCGGATTTTCAGCTTCAGGAAGCATTGCGGGTCGTTGGTTGGATGTGATGGTCTTTGAAAGGGGGCTAACACTTACTAGACGTCAACTATGTTCTTTCATTTAAGTTTAGTCACACTTATGTATTGCGCTCCTGCCCGTGTCGAGCTTACAGTGTAGTAGGAGACAGTAAGCAAAAAGTTACATAAGATTTTTCCAAGGGAGAAAAGCTCAGTCTCTTCCGGTTTGGGGCCTTTCGGTTTAGAAATCCGCTTATTCAAAGTTCCGCTTCTATCACGGCTGGTTTGAAAGGTCTCTTTTGGATGACTCAGGCTCTTTTCGACAGTCCAGATTTAAGTATGAGGTCAGAACCCATTCATTCCCCATATTCCAAGCGGCCTCTTTCCAGCCCTGAGAAGCTGTGACTGCAGCGGTGACTGGTCTGGAAAACGCAGGTGGAAGTGACTCGAGTCCCCTGGTCAGCCGGAAGTAAGGGACACGCCAGTAAGGGAAGTCTTTAGAGGAGCAGGAGTGCAGGTTAGTTAAGAGGCATGTGCAAAACGAGTTTTCTGAATTCATCAGTCTTTTTCATTTTTTTAAAGTAACTAGATAAGAATGAGGAGCTCTGGTAGCATAGTGGCTAAAGCACTTGACTGCTAAGCAGAAGGCTGGCGGTTCAAACCCACCAGCCACTCCTCGGAAGGAAGGTTAGGCAATCCTACTTCCGTAGTGATACTGCCTCGGAAACCCAAGGAGGGGTCGCTATGAGTCGGGCCGACTCGACAGCACATAACAACACAACAACAACAGATAATAATGACCTTGATACCTGGCCTCTATTAGAGCTCTTGACCTGGGAGTGGAATGGGAATGGGATTTGTACATAACAGTAATAAGGCCGACCTTGATAAAGGATAGCTGAAAACCACGAAGTGCTCCCTTACTGTAGTTCCTCCTTGTTCAGAGCGTTGTGGAGACTAAACAACTCCTTTTGCTTGTAAAGTCAGTACTTGACACACATTACGCGGTGTATGGGAATCCCTGGGTGACGCAAACAGTTAAGAGTTTAGCTACTAAGCAAAGGTTGGCAATTTAAATCCACCCAGCAGGACCTTGGAAGAAATACCTGGTGATCTACTTCCCAAAGATCATAAAACTCCAAACTCGCTGTCATCGAGTCGATTCCAACTCATAGCAACCCTCACTGTGTTTCTGAGGCTGTAGATCTTTACAGAAGTAAATTGTCCCATCTTTCTTCCATGGAGCAGCTGATGGGTTTGAACCACCAACTTTCTGGTTAGTAGTCAAATGCCTTAGGCACTGTACCACCAGAGCTCCTTCTTCAAAGACCATACAGCCATTGAAAATCCTATGGAGTGCAGTTGTATTCTGAACACATGGGAACATCATGAGTCACAATCTCTTTGAGACAACTTTTTTTTTCTTTCTGTGTTTTGTAAGTGTCATATAGTGTGTTATAAAAACTGAGCAGAAGGAGAGATTTAACTCCAACCTGGAGAGTCAGGAAGTAATTCGTAGAAACCCTGCATTTGAGTTGAACCTCTGAAGGTAGGATTTCCACAGACCAAGATTAGAGGGAGAAGTTATCCCATAAAAAACTCAATAGTCAAATGTAAAGATAAGGCATGTTGAGAAAACACCACTAGTTTTATTTGCCTTTAGCTTAGGTCATAATGTTGAAGTTGAGGGGTAGAATTACCAGAGCAAATAGGTTGAAACTAGTTCTGATGGTATCTTTAATGCTATGCAATTTGAATTTGAATTTTATGCCACAGTACAGAGCTCTCTTACATTTTCAAATAGGGCAGAGATATGATCAGAGCTGTGTTTTAAGAATGTGATCCTATAGTGGTATTAAGGATTGTTATTGTTGTTATGTACTGTCGAGTTGGACCCAACTCGTAGCAACCCCTCCATGGGTTTCCGAGGAAGTATCACTATGGAAGTAGATTGTCCAGCCTTCCTTCTGAGGAGTGGCTGGTGGGTTTGAACCACCAGCCTTCTGGTTAGCAATCAAGTGCCTTAGGCACCATGCTACCGGAGATGATTTTTGTATAGTCTGTGAGAGAAATGATGGGATCTAGAACTGGAGCAGTAATTGAGGGGATCAAAAGGAAAAACAGAAACTAACATACTGAGACCGACTGTAGACTTGGTTCTGTGTTAGATGCTTTAATAAGTTAACCTTTTTTGCAACATATTAGGAGATTGAGACACAGATCCCAGGCAGCTAACTCAGGGTTATGCAGCTACTAAGTGAAGCCAGAATTCCATTTCAGATCTCTCTAATGCTGAGGCCACACTCTTCCTGCTACAGGGCCCTGCTTTCTAGTCTAAGTAGATTTCACAACTTACTTGGTTGCTTAGCTTATCCTTGTGTTCAGGCTATTCTTTACCTGTACTGCTTCTAGTCTGGAAAAAATATAAAGCTCATGTTCTTTTGGTTTTTTGGTTCATAAGTAAAGTTTGTAAGTGATGATATCTGTATTTTTACATTTTAGTTTGTGCTGAATATGCTGTGTACAAAACTGGTAGCACTGACTATTTATTCTAACTCCCTCACCAGATTCTGCGGCATGAGGAATTTGAAGAAGGCTGCAAAGCTGCATGTAATGGGTATGACGCCTTGCTTCTTTAAATCTCCTTTAGGCTTTGAATAATCCTGGAGAATCTAGAAGGCAGTTTCTCAAAGTGAGTATAAGGCAGTGGAATAGTGTAGGACAATAAATTAGAGAGGCAGTTTCAAGAATACAAATACATCTGTTCTCGGGATGAAACTGTTTTTTGAATAACTCTTAAGCTAGTAGCCAGGTCAAGCTGGAAGATTCCAAGGGAATTGCATGCTTGTTGATTGATATTTAAAAAAAAAAAAATAAAGGTCAGAATAGAGAGCTATCTTTAAAGGCTTCTGTCTCATGCTTTACAGAAAAGGTAAATGAAGCTTTCCCTGGGACGCATTCCCTCGGGGGGCCTTGGAAACCTGTTGTGAGGGAGCCCACAAGCACTCAGAGGAAGCATTGTCCACAGCTGCTCTCAGCACCCTTTGGGGTCATCTCGTCCTTATGGGGACTCACAAGACTGAGGGGAGCGGGGAGGCTCTGCCTATTTCTTTGCCCAGTAGTTGCTTGGGGAAGGCCCGAGGCAGATTTTACCTGTGGTCACAGGCTTCATTTACTTCCATTTCTCTAGGCCTTACGATGGAAAATGGAGTAAAACAATGGTGGGGTTTGGGCCTGAAGATGATCATTTTGTTGCAGAACTGACTTACAATTATGGCATTGGAGACTACAAACTTGGCAATGACTTCATGGTAACTATCATTTTATTCTTACAGATTTTTGACTAACTTCTGTTGAGGTCACAGGTACAGCTTTGGCTGTGATGACTCTTGAGTGCTTTGGGTACAATTTAGTGATTGTTTTTATGATGTTTTTCTGTTAGAAAAAACAAAGGACTACTTGAGCATCCCTGGCTTGGAACTGGCTTCAGGATAAAATATCCTCTCCCAGGGTTTAGAATCAAGCATAAGACTGGGAGACTGCTTTGAAGGAGACAAGATTCCTCTAGGGGAGTGACCGAATTCTGGGAGGTGACGGAGGCAGGGACATAGGTCTGGTCAGGTCCTGAGCACCACCAGGGAACATTTGCTCTCTAGTGGACATTACGGCTTGCCTGGCTGGGCTGTTATGACCAGTCCCATTCAGAGACAAATCTGAGAAGGTTTTAAGGATAAAGGCATTATATGCACTCCATTTATTCAGGAAAGAGTTATTACCTATTGTAGTAATAATACCTGCTGTTTATTGAGAAGTTACTGTGTGCTAAATATAATGTCACCAGGCCCAAGTATTTAGCAAGAAAGGAATAACTAAGTTTTACTCAGAATCTGCTAAGTAAAATGTACCTCAGGCTACATGTGTTATTTTGGGTCATATGGATCTCACTATACCTATTACCTCATCTGTAAAATAATAATGACTTGTAGATGAAAGTTTTTTAAGTACAATACTTTTACAAATATTTGTAAAAGTATTTTTAAGTGGAAAGAACTGTTCAGTATTAATGTATTAGTATACTTGCTTTTTCTCTTTTTTTCCCCTTCACTCTCCATGTCTGTTGTTGTTGTTGTTGTTGTGTGCCGTCAAGTCAGACCCGACCATAGTGACCCCTCCTTGGGTTTCCAAGGCAGTATCACTACGGAAGTAGATTGCCCCATCTTCCTTCGGAGGAGTGGCTGGTGGGTTTGAACCACCAGCCTTCTGGTTAGCAGTCAAGTACCTTAGCCACTATGCTACCAGAGCTCCCTCCATGTCTATCATTAATTTATTCCCTTAACGGATACTTAATGTGACTTACTATGTGCCATACACCTTTTTAGTCCCTAAGGTACAACAGAGAATGAAGCATGTTCCCCGACCTTAAGAAGCTTCCTGTCTGGTGGGGGAAATAAGAGACAATGAGAGTACACTGTGATTAAGTGCTAAGATCAGAATAAGAACACCGGGGTCTGGGAACCCATAGGAGATACCCCTGGAGAGGTCAGAGTTCAGGGAACGCTTCCCAAAGTAACATCTAAGCTGGGTGAGGGGTCTGAGTGGAAGGGTAAGATGAGGGTCCTTATCCTGTGCAAAGGCCTTGGGGGTGAAAAAGGGTGTGGCGCTCAGAACAGGGAGGAACACATGGCAGTTCTTGTGTGAGGAGGGGAAGGAATAGAGTGGAGCCTGGAGAATTAAGCCGGGCCTCCATCACACAGGGCTTTGAGGTCATGTTAGAGAGTTTAGACTTTGGTTAGAAGTCCTTGAGAGGTGCAAAGTTTAAAACATTCAGCTGCTAACCAAAAGGTTGGTGATTTGAACCCACCAGCCACTCTGAAGGAGAAAGATGAGACAATCTGCTTCTATAAAGATTTACTGCCTTGCAGCATTGAGGATGAGAAAGACAGAGAGAGTTACATGGGCAGTACAAACAACAAATATGAACCCCTTTGTAAATACAATACTGAGTTGTTAATGAAAGCAAACATGGGTATAGGGACGGATAGATGGGTGAACAAGCTAAACAATTATGTATGTCTAAATGGAGAGTGTATCCAAGATCATATACAGGGTTGGCAGACAATGGGCCTCTCGAAGAGTATGAAGGGATGGACACTGGGAGGAGGTAACTATGGGGAGGAAGTGGGAGGGGAGCTGCTGCATTGTAAATTTTGGTCAATGACATGAGACAAAGTATATGTGAACTGCTGTATGAAAAGTCAATTTACTCTGTAAATCTTCACCCAAATCCTAAAAAAAAAAAAAGATTTACTGCCTTGGAAACCTGTGGGGCAGTTCTGCTTTGGCCTTAGGGTTGCTATGAGGCCAAATTGACTGGTTTGGGTTTGTTTGTTTGTTTGAGGAGGTGCAAATCATTACCGGTAATGTGCTCAGCTGCTAATCAAAAGGTTGTAGGTTTGATTCCACCCAGAAAGGCCTGGCTATCTACTTCCCAAAAATTAGCTTTTGAAAACCCCATGGAATACAGTTCTCTGGCACATATGGGGTTGTCATGAGTTGAAGCCAACTTGACAACAACTGGCTTACTGGTAGACTTTATTTAAAAAACAGAGTGAAGCCATTTTTAGTTTTAAGCAGGGGAGTAATGTGGTATTTATGGAATGCAAGGATGGGCCTGGCTAGCACGTGGAGATTGGATTGGATGGGAACAAAATTGGAAGTGAGGAAACAAGTTCAAAGGATAAATACAGAAGGAGACTAGGGGTCCTTTAATGAAGGTGAAATGGAGAAGTGACAATGGAGAGAAGTGGATGGATTTGAGAGCTGCTTATGAGTTAAAGTTGATAGGATTTGGTGATTGAGTGTAGGGGGCAGTTCCTGTGTGCTTCTCTTTCTCTTTCCTTACTCGCCAAAGTTAAATTAAAAAAAAAAAAAACCTCATTGCTGTTGAGTTGAATCCAACCCATAGCGACAACTCCTAAGAAGTAAAGTCCTAGTACCATCACCAGTGAACCACCCAAGTTAAACGTTGGCGGTACTACAGGTGCTGGAAGTCAATTGTGTAGAGTAGCTTGGTTGCTCCCCAATGTCTTCCTAAGAGCTTTTGGTAGTGAAATATCCCCGATGAATGGGTACCCCTCTGTGCTCAGTTTCCGAGACAAAAGGAAAAAGATTAATTAAATAAAACTCCCATATATATAATTTCACATGATATAAAGAACTATTTTGTCACATGGAACTGCTGTGAGTCAAAAATCAACCCGATGGCACCCAGCAATGACAACATACACACACACACACACACACACAAATAACGTCTGTACATTAAAAAGAAAGAGATCAACAACATAATAGAAAAAGGGTGAAAAATACAAATAGTTCTCAGAAACGACACTAGAAATGTCTCTTAAACATTGAAAATAATGTTCAACTTCCACGTTACCAATTATCACCTATTAGATTTGTAAAAATCAAAAAGTGCGATAACATACAGTGTTAGGAAAGGTCAGAAAAGTGCTATTCTTAACATTACTAAAGAGTGTAAACTGAACCGCAATTAGGCAATATCAAAGTAAATAATGCATTTACCCTTTGACCCTGCAGTTGCACATCTAGGAGTTTACCTTACAAATATGTGAATTGAACTGTGTATTAAATTATTTATTAGAGTATTTACTCATGCAACAAATATTTATTTAGTGCCTATATATGCAGGCACTGTTCCGGACACAATTGTGAATGAAACAGACAAAAATCTCTGTCCAGGGGCTGACGGACCATAAACAATAAATAAATAAGTACATTTAATGGTATTTTAAAGGTGATAGTTGCTGTAGCAAAGGAATAGAACAGGGTGAGGGGGATTGGGAGTATGGGACAAATAACTAGATTTAATTTTAAATAGGGTGCTGAGAGTGGGCATCAGCAAGAAGGTGACATTTGAGCAAAGGTTTGAAGGAAAGAAGGGAGTTAGCCATGTGGATATTCCCAGAGGTAATGTCTAATCTGGGTGAGTGGAGTTGGTGTGGACATTGCAGGCTGAGATAAACTCACTTCACCTAAAGCTTCTTATCTCATCTTTCAAGTTGCTGTTATCATTTGATCCCATATAGATAGCTCTTAAAAGAGCATAATGCTCGAGCCATTCTTTATTATTTAAACTAAATTATTGTTTGGTTTTAGGAAGATTTCAGGGATATTTTTGGGTTTACAGTTAAGATTATTTTAGGGCAATATTTCAAGAGTTCTTCCAGCCTCTATGGCTCTAGAAAGTCTGGATTCCATGAGAATTTGAAATTCTATTCTGCATTTCTCCCCTTTTGACCAGGATTCATCAAAGCATTCAGTAATGGTAGCTGGACACCATCCAGTTCTGGTCTTAAGGCAAAGGAGGCAATAACCTGAATGCATTTTGAAGAGATAGCAGAAATCTTTGATTCTAGTCTTATGAGATCGTGAGCAGAGAACCCATTTGAGCCATGCTGAACTTCTGACCTACAGAACTGTGAGCTAAGTAGTAGGTATTATTTTATGAAAGCCCCCTTCCCCAAACTTCAAAAAATTTTAAATTGATTTGATATGGAGAAGTCTGTGCTTTGGAAATCTCAGAAATAGACTTTTACCTAGACCTGGTAGGGAAGGCTTCCCAGAAGAACCAAAGAATGCATGGGAGTTGGTCAAACGCAGGAGGAATATTCTGTGCAGAGGCAACAGCATTCTAAAAGGCGAAAAGCAAAGTGCAGGGAACTTGGAAAACCATTCATCCAACTGGAGCATAGAGTTTAGAATGGGAAGACATACAAAATGAAGTGAAAGAGAAGTATGTGACAGACCCACAAGAGCTTATATGTTGAGTTTGGGATTTCTCCAGAGGGCAATGATGAGATAACAAAGAATTCTAAGCTTGGTGTGTAGAGTGATTAACTGTGGGTTTGGGAGACTTGACTCTGGCTGCAGAATGGATGATGCTCTGGCAGAACTGCAGGCACAGAGGCTGTTATCTAAGCTGGTGGTGAGCTGGCTTGATCCCAGAAGACATAAGTGTATATTTTTAAGTACTTTGATTAAATTTAGAGAATATTTTATTTTAAAACAAAACCAAACATCTTACCGGCGTGGGCTTTAGAGGGCCAATGTAAGATCAAAATTTCCCTGGTAGATCTTCAAAATTAATAGAGTTTCTCTTTGGTATTAACTGGAGTAAACTTCACTGATAAAGTTTTAATTTCCTCTCTGTGGTTCATGAACGTTTGAATCTTTACAGGGGAAAAATATGTCTGAAGCCTACTTTAAAATCACTAGAAGAAAATTTTGAACGCCAGTGAAATTTTAGGTAACTGAACTACAGGCAGCGGGATTTTGCCTGATCATCTCGCTCTAAAAAAGATCTGTTGTGGTTGCATGTGGTAACGCTTTGGTGATGTTATTGTTTACCCTAGGGTATCACACTCGCTTCTAGCCAGGCTGTCAGCAATGCCAAGAATGTGGAGTGGCCGCTCAGAGAAGTTGCGGAAGGTGTTTTTGAAACTGAGGCTCCAGGAGGATATAAATTCTTTTTGCAGAATCACACTCTCCCTCAGTCAGGTAATTATCCTGGGGCTACTAAAAGCTTGGTCTAAAGACATCTTGATGGAAGGAGAGAAGGAGCCAGATTCTTTCCTTCTGCACGGTCTTTTTATATCAAAATGTCATGTCCTTCCCACGCCATTGTTTTTATCTGTTCTCTGAGAAATGATAGTTTCATCTTGCAACTTTGGTGCATAACTGTAGGCATCTAGATAGTTCTCTTCTACTTGTAATGTGTCTATTTAGGATACTTCCTACTATAAATGATAGAAAACCCAACTCAAACTAGTTTAAACAGTAAAAAAATGTTCTAACTCAGAGCAGGAATTCAGTGGTGGAGAAAGTTCAAGGTTAGTTGGTTCAGCAATGGCATCAAGAGCCCCTGTTTTCTCTTTCTACTTTCCTAGAGCTGTTCCCTGTGGTTGTAGGAGGGTTCCCAGTAGCAGTTAGGACTATGTGCTGTCAAACTCACATCTGGTAAGAGAGGGAGAGACTGACTTCCTGTTGTCCTCTTTTTAAAATCAGAGCAAAACTTTCCTAGAATTTTGTACCAGCTTTCAAGGTCATATTTGATTCATTTTCCTGCTTTTGAACCAATCATTGGCAAGAGAAATAGGATTGTCCTTAGACCAGTCAGTCACACCCCTGGAGCTGAGGTCATTTTCCCAAACGACAGTGCTGGTACTCAGTGAGTAAGAGATGTAAGTCAGGAGATGACCACGCTCGCAGCCACAGGACCCAGGAAACTTGACATTGCATGTTTTGTTTACTGCAGAGGCATCCTTACCATAGGGGTACAAGTATCCCCTGCTTTTCAAAAGTTTGATTCACAACACTGCACTTTTATGAAAGCTGCACGCCAAGCAGGGACAGTGGCATGACAACCTCCTTCCCGGACACTACACTCAGCATCAAGCCGCCATAGCTTTGAACTGTTTGAACTGTGTCTGTGAACACTTTGTGTTAGTGTTATTTTAGGTCTTAGGTGTTACTTAATATGACGTGGTAGGTGACTTTTTAGCTCTGGGAATGCTCAAAAATGTTTTCCATAGAAACTAACGGTAATTGCTTTATGCCATTTTGGCTTGCAAAAGGTTCCGTAACAATGTTTTACTTTCAGAAAGCAGGAGAAACCTGTATTTAATTCCTGCAAATTCTGCTGCCTGCCCTGCCAAAACAAAAGCAAAAATAATAATAATACTGTGGAATAGCAAGGGCAGTTCTGCCTGCCATCTCACCTAGTGACTAGGTGGACCTGAAATAAGAGATGTGTGTTGTCACTGGTCAGCCTCAGGTCCCACATGTCCCTCACGCTGAATCTGACTTAATACTGTGTCTTTTTCATCTGGTGCTCAGCAAGACACAGCAACCCATTCCAGCGTGGGACTTTCTGAGAGGTGGAATTTATATACTTGGCCGGTGATTTAAGGGATTTTTATGGTTATTTTTCTTGATGGGTGATTGTCATATTACATACTGACTTTAACACTTGACACCTACAACTAATTCCACTGTAATTTTTTTTTCTTAGTCTTAGTGGTGTTTCGGCACTTGAAATAGGAGGAGGGGATGGGAATTACTGTGTAAGGGGTGTTGTGTGTTTGGGGTGATGAAAACTTTTGGAAGCAGATGGTGGTGATGGTTGTGCAGCATGGAGAATGACATTCACATGTCATTGAATTGTACACTTAAAAATGGTTAAAATGGCTCACTTTTTTGTCATATATATTTTACCACAATAAAATTTTTTAAAAATACTTAAAACATTAGTGAACCCAAAATCATTTGGAGGCAAAAAAAAAAAAAAGAAGGTGGGGACCAGGTTTACTGGTCCAATAGAGCCTGGTGTAACCACTGAGACTATGGCCTCTAGCTGCCCTTCAGGTCTGGAATTGAACCCACAACTGTGGTTTCCAGCCAAACCAAGTACAGGCATGTGAGTTAAACATTTACCTCAAGTAGAC